CCCTTTTTTTCGCCCTTGCTTGGGGACCTTTTCCCTCTGGGGAAGGAAAAAAAAAAAAAAAAAAAAAAAAAAAAAATATATATATATATATATATATATATATATATATATATATATATATATATATATATATATACCTCCAAAAACAGTTAATGTTAGATATCTGGTCTTTAATAACCTTTTATGTTGTTTTTTTTAAGTAAAATTAAAGGTTGTAAATGATTAAACTTGTTTGAAGTTAGCTTACTAGCTTACTCAGGCTTTTCTTTGCTGATGCCGATTTCCAATGTTACTTTATGTCTGAGCTTCTCAATTCTGTGTCTTAAACTGTTATTTCACATAAAGAATATGTAAATGTGCTGCAGCTTCTTTAATGAAGATGATTTGAATCCAGTGGACACTAAAGAAATTGCAGACTTATTCAGACTTAAGTCTAAAAGCATAAATCTTTAGTCTTTGTTTAAAAAAAGTGCATCAAATATACTGTTCCTTTCTAAACTGAAATTCTGTAGTAGTTCTTAGATTTAATGCATGAACTGTGTCTCAGAAATTACATTTTTGGGGGAGGATTTTTCATCATTTTACATATTCATCATTGCTTCTAGCCCTCTCAGCTTCTCTGGAGTCGGCAGAGAAAGAGGAAGACGTTACTCAGTATGGTGAGTAAAAGTTTATTCATAAAAACAGGAATGATGGACGATGACACAAGCTGACAGAAATGCCCTAACCATATTTCTTCTGTGCAGATGGGCTAACTCAGCTGCAGAAAATAGGTGATATACCAACTGTTTTTTTTTTGTTTGTTTTTTTTGTTTTTTCAGGATAATAATTTAGAAAGATTTTAAAAAATCTGGATTTCCCCCAAAATCATTAAGTCCTAAATTTGAATCTAATTTTGGTATTTTTAGTGTCTCTTTATCAGAATGTTGACATTTTCTGTCTTTTCTTACTTACATGGCTTCGTTCTCTCAGACCAGATGGAGTTTGATGCTGCTCAAAAAGCTGAAGCAGCGCGGATGAACAGTAAGTTTAAATCTGACAATAAAATGGTTAAAAAAGAAGCAGATACGTAAAAATGTAACTGTTTCTTTTGCTTTGTTTTTTCAAGTTACAGAGGAGCAGAGTGAAGATAGCCGCTTTCTTGGTAAGAATAAAACAAGAAATCATGACTTTTCCCACAAATAAATCCAGCTGATCATTTGGTAAAAGCAGCCTTTTAACTTCACAGAGGCTGTTAAAGATGGATCTGGTGAGTTCTGGTACTTTACACAATGATTCATATTCACCCACATAAAGCTAAAGTTTCCTTTATAAATGTTTTAACAGTAGAGGAACATGACAAAGATGAAAGTGAAGATGAAAGCAAAGGTTTGTGGATAACATGTCACAGTCAATGTTTTAAAGATTAAAAAATTACCATGGAAATACATATTTTTCTTATTTTTTTTATACCAGTATTAACTTTTGTCCTGACCATACATAACATTTTTTAAATTATATCCATTTTAACCTACTTAGTTTTTCTCCCACCTTCTTATATTTGCACATTAGATTTTTATGAGCTCCAGGGCGTCAAAAACGATCTGCAGCAATCGATTCTGATCAGTTTTGAAAGACACAAAAATAATCCCTTGAAGATTGGTTTGCACATTTAGAGATTTGGGTAAGGAGATATCGAAAAAGAAAATTCCCACAAAAAAAAAAAATCTGCAATTTGCAGTTCACAGCCAAAGTTATACGAAAGTGAAATTTATAAAATAAACAAAAAACAAGCAAAGAATGCTACGGGATCAACGAGGCTTAGCCGTGTTTAGCGTTGTCTGACTATACCGCTGTCTTCCTGCAGAGGGAGCAGCGGATTCCAACGGTGCCGCAGAGGAAGGTGACGCAGGTTTGTAGTTTAGCCTCTAGGTGGCAGTAAAACACAACTTTTAAACGTGACGGTGAAACATTGCGTTAAGTCTAAATAGCTGCATTTATGTCCCTTTTTCCACACAGAGTCAGAGTCAGAGTCCTCTGAGAGCACTAAGGGTGAGTGTGAAAAAAAAAAAAAATTCAAGGGTTAGTTTCTGCTTTCCTGATAATGCTTATGTTTATGATTTTTTTTTTTATCAGGAAGGGAAAGGAGAGGTGAGGTTTTTGTGCTGTTATTTTTCTTTTCAATATTAATTCATTCATTGTAAGAACACGTTTTACAAATAAAAATCTTTTTTCTAGAATACCCAGAGACATCAACACTCAACTGTGTGGTACGTGAAAACACTGAGACAATCCCTTATGAGATCGATTACCTGCTCTAAAAACTGTTTTTTCTGTTTCCCCTTGCAGCTGAAGGGAACACCCAAGAAAGAGGTGAAAAACTTAAGTAAAAATTTAATGTAATATCGCACAGATACGGCATAGGTATATTTATAGCTGCTCAGATTCAGACAGTAAAAGCTCAGATCAGAAATAGTGTTTAACATTATTTGAGGCAGACTCAAAACTACCTGCAGAGGCGAGATGTGGTGAGATGTTTGGAGTGAGCCGCTAAAGTTTAAATTGTGGGTTATGCAATGAGCCAGACAGAGAAAAACAGAACCGGTCACAACCGGTCTGGGCTTGACTTTTTAAAATAGTGTCACAAACTTTTATTGTGGAATAAAGTCTGCTGTAAAAACAAAAGGTTTGACCACTTTTGGTTGCACACACACCACAAAAAACTGTTGTTTACTTTAAAGGTGTAATTATGTCACCACGGATATGAACTCCTTTGACCTAAAAAAAAAAAAAAGATGTTTATTTTGACACAGTTCTCTTAGTGTGTGAGTAAATCTGGGACATGAATCCAGGACACTCAGAGGCATCTGTCCCCAGGTACTTACTGTGCTTGATTTATACAGTTTCATGTGCCTCTGGTTATTTTAGGAACAAGGATGTTCTAAAAAATGTTGGGGAAATAAGCTGATTTTGGTTTAGGTTTGCTGTCGGAACAATCAGGGGATTATCAGCCGTGGTTAGAAACTCATTTTGCAGCAAACCCAAACAGGCAGGGAATATTGCAGACCAAAAGCCGGCACTTCCAGAGAGAAACATTACTGCAGTCATAACTCATCTTCCTCCCTCTGGAGTTGCGAGACGTGAAAAACCCAGGAGGGGTGTGATTCATTAACCCGAAACCATGGAAAACTACTGCATTGTGGTGTTTTTAAAAGCTGGCGTAAAGGAATTCTGTCTGTTCCTCCCTCACAGATGTATGACTGAGAAATCCCTGCAACACGTGGGCCCCAGCGCTTACTCATCGCCACCCCGGAGCTGCACCCAGCTTTCCATCAATAAAAGGGAAAACAATCCCACCTATCCTTTTGTTTTCCTTCACAGTCACAGGCCAAAACAGGGAAGCTTTGATTCACAAGAATTTTTGAAATCAAGAGTTGCAGACGGAGTATTTTTTACCATTTTTATTGAGGTTTTTTTTTCCATCCACAATTGTGGAGCAAAAGAATGATGTGCATTTTAAAATAAAAAATAATCTTTGGTACCTAAAAAAAAAAGAAAAGAAAAATAAGGCAACTACAGCATCTATAGGTCTGAAATGCATTCAGCATTGCAGTCAAGTGACCACATGCAACACACTGTATATTTGCCCCCATTCTGAAGAAAAACAGGCCAACTCTGTGCCAATCGGATCAGTTCACTTCCAGTTTTAAAACTTGTGTATAGCTAAAGTATCCTAACTGTCTCAGAAGGTGCAAATGGTACAGAAAACATACTGAAAGTAGTGATTACAAGGGGATCTAGGAAATACAAGGCTAAAGCAGGCCTAAAGCATTAACCATCAAGGATGATGCAATCAAGTTTCAACAGGAGACTTAAGGACTCGTTTGGGAATACATTATACGCGCTGGTGGACATTCTGTTGCATCCTAAAACTGAGGTGAACAATTTCAGGCTGTTTGTGCACGTGGCTTCGTTTTCTTTTGTTCAAGAAATGACAATTTAATGCATACAGTATTTTCCATATTAATCTGCAAGTGGTCATCCAGTGTATACAATTACATCTTGCACTGTAACGGAGTCTGGAAAATAAACCATTTTAACCAACTTCAGCCAAACTTGTTTCTGATTCTTTTGAGAAGAAATGCAACGTACGGATTCAGGGAATACAACAAAGTCAGATGCAAAATATGAAAATTATTAATTACTCTGGAGTAAAGAGAAGTACGGCAATGCATCTTGTTTTTAATCCTAAAGTATAGCTCTTGCATCTGCATTACTTTCAGCATGTGTTATACTTTAAATTACAGGTGTGATAGGTTTATTACTTCATTTCCAATACTGTCAAAACAAAACAAGAACAAAAAAAAGATGGTTGTATTTACATCACTGGAAAAGTAAAAAAAAAAAAAAATTAAAAAAGATCAAGAATTTACAGAAATGAAATGATGAGATATGTAAAAGAATGAACGTAAAAGATATTCCAAAAAGAATAGCAAAAGCCAAGTTGAATATGGACCACAGGCACATATCATAAGTCCTTTTCAAACGTTTTTCCTTTCGTTGTCGTCAGCCTGAGGTAAGCGACATTTAAATCGGAAAGATGGCGTAGATGAAGATGGCCATGATGGCGGCGCTGATCAGGCCGGAGATGGGAACGGTCACAAACCACGCCATGAAGATGTTTCTGAACAGGCGCCAGTCCACGGCCTTCCTCGAACGCAGCCATCCCACTGCCACCACCGACCCCACCTGGAAGCAACGTGCTTGTTAATCTCCTGGATGTGTCATTTTGTAAAACTTTGCATTGCAAATGTTTTAACACTCCATAAGTAGAACGAAAAATGGATGGTTGTGTGCATTTGCATTCTGCCATCAACTTTTACTGCAACTATTGTTGCAAAAATGAAAATGACAGCTAAGGCGCAGGCTGGACAGAGTTAATGTGTGGAAATACATTTTGAAGTCTTTCCAAACACTTTCAATAAGACTTCAAATACATTAATATGATACAAACACTGACAGCAGGTTCAGATTCATCCTGCTGGAAAATGAACCTCCTCCAATAACAGAATGTATGGGTAGAATGCATTTAGAGTAGAGATCAAATATTTTATCAGGAGAACTGATTTATCACAATAAGTGATGCATTTTAATAATCTGATTACGTCTAAAATTTAAAATAATATTGATTTTTGTTTAATTCTGATACAATTTCACTACTTGTTTGCAATATTTGTTCATGAATCTGATCTTCACTGAACCAAAGCACCTTTTTCACATTGACTGTCTTCTATAAAACTAAACTGTTAATTGAATTTTTTTGTTGCTTAATTTCAGTTCACTCCACTTTCCTGATTTCCACAAATAACAGCCCCTTAAAAAAAAAGTTGTTATATGTGTTAATGTTGGTAAATCACGTAACATATTAAAGTTTTATGATTATAATGTGATAAAGTCCAAGGACTTTGAACACTTCTAAGGCATCACATTACTCAGGAGGAACTCTGTCCATATTTGGACCAAGTGGCAGACTGTTTACTTTAGACTCCGTCATACTAAACAGCCTCCCTATGTCTCAGTCAAATTCACAAACCACAGAGTTTGACTGGCCTACCTTGCAATGGGTGGTTGAGACAGGCAGACCAATGTTAGAAGCAACCACGACAGTCAGGGCTGAGGCCAATTCGATGCTGAAACCACTGCAGGGAAAAAAAAAAGAAAAGAAAAAGTCAGGACTTATGAGGATGTGTCTGAGTGGCCTGCTAAATCCAGAACTCTGTAATGTCTGGACAGGATGTGGTTTTAGGGGGTGATGTCTGTTTTCTGTACCTTGAAGGCGTGATGGGGGTGAGGTCTTTGCCCATAGTCTGGATCACCCTGCGACCCCACACCCACAGGCCGATGCAGATGCCCACGCCGCCGTACAGCAGAAGCCAAATGGGTGTCGGTGCGTTAGAGGTCACGCTGCTCGTTGAATAAACCAACCACAAAGCTACCAAAGGTCCAATGGCATTGCTGCAGAGGAAGCAGAGAGGTTATTCACACACTGGGCAAAGAGTTGGGGCAAGTTAAAATGTCACCACAAACCTGCTGTTATCTTATCAGTACAACATGACCTGCGCTGTACAGAGTCCTTACCTCACGTCATTTCCACCATGGGCGAAAGATCCGAAGCAAGCTGTGAGGATTTGAAGGAACTGAAACAGAGTGGAGACTTCAGGTTTGTCTTCTTCGTGCCTGTCATCCAGAGAGCTATGGTTGCTGCCCGCATCCTCGTTTCCTATCTCTAGTGTTACATCACTTTCTCCCAGAGCTTCAGGAGTTGTGTTCTCTGCTACAGCGTTGCAGTAGCTGGTGTAACTGTCCATGCGCACACGCTTCTTTTCCTGACCACCGGACCCCGGGGCCTTGTCGCCTTCTTCGCCAACGCGGGGGTCCGCCTCTTTGTGCCTGAAGTCACCGTGTAGGCCGATGATGGCCATAGTGTACGAGGTGTAGCTGTTGTTTCTTCGGATGGGCCGGTCACCCACCTCGCCCATGCAGTCGCCAACCTTGGCCAGGTGGAGTTTGTGCAGCAGGTCTTTGTAGAGGCCAGAGTCCTTGTGGACCGTGTGGTACTGACTGTAACCATTGCTGGGGATCTGAGCCGGTCTGTTGTTGAACTGAGCTTGGTTGTTGAAGTGGACCTGGCTGGGAGCATTTGCAGAGCCGTTACCATGCTGGTTGTTGAGCTGGAGCTGGTCGTTTGTTTGAGGCTGTTTCTGGGCTGCAGACAAAAAAATTAAATACAGATAAAGCGTCTTATTCATTGCAAAAACAAAATCTTACCAAGTATTTCTGGTCTAGTTTTCAGTGCAAACACGTGAAATAACACAAAATTAACTTTCAAGTAAATTTTCAGCAAGATAGCTTGTTTTAAGTCAGTACTTCCTAAATATCGATGGAAAGCTACTAGCTACTAGTGAAATAATCTTGGCTATTTTTAGTATCAGTATCAGTGTTCATATCTGAGAACAAGAAAACATGAAGATTAACAAATACCAGAGATTAAGGCTGGGCAATAAATCAATAATATATACTGCAGTAGACACTTGATCAATATCAATAGATAATACATCCATATTTTGGAGAATGTAAACAGAGGAAAAGATTCAGCCGCTCCTCACAGCCAGTTAAGCAACTGGATGGGAGAAATCAACAAGCTGGTTACCTAGCAACATGTTGAGTAACTTGTGCAGCAGCAGTTTAAGCTTTCCACATTGTGACTCATAACTCAAAAATCATAAACACACTGAAGTGAAAGTTGAGTATAAAAGAGGAAACGCATTCCAGTTTGGCAATAATTTAGATATTTAAAACAAAAACTTATCAGTATAGACCTCTATTAAACGCCTATATCGCGAAAAGCATTTGCAGAAATCGAAAGCTCTAAATCATCATCATCTCTTACCGTTCGTATTGCAGTCATCTGTGTCATCACAATCCCCAATGTTAAAAGCAACCTTGCGCTCCTTATTAGTTTCCCCCTCCTCAGACTCTCCAATGTCGAACGCCACCCTCCGCTCCTCAACGACCAGCTGAGGTTCAGAGGAGTTTTGAGTGACAGCTGGCGCAGCAGGTGTAGACGTCTCCTTGGCAGTCTGCTTCAGGATGGGACAGTGGGCCTCTTTGAGCTCTCTCTTTTCCATCAGGGGGCTCTCCGAGGGGCTGGAAGACTTGATATCTCCTGGCAGGAGAGACATCAAGGTGAGATTGTACATGCACACCAACCAGCTGAGATATCCAAACAGAGCCACTGTTTTCCTTCTGCCTAATCTGTGAGATTCCCTAAGATATGTGTAATTACAGAGTCAAAGGACTATTGTTCTACAAATGTAATGTTACCCAAGTTTAAACTTGAGGCTCTGTTCACAGGATCAGATAAATGGATTAAATGGACCATATTTACATTACTGTCAAGAAGTTACCTAATCACAGAACAGTAAACACAACCTGAGACTTGCATGAACTGACATTTCGTGCTTACAAAAAGACCTGAAATTCCTGAAGTAAGCCAACCAGGAAGTAACGTTTCAGAAGTAACAGTACCTAATCAAAGAAAAGTGTAAACAACCTGAGGCTCACATAAACTGACATTTTAGGTGTTGTTGAATTTCAGGTCCAAGAAGACCTGAAATTTCACTTAACGTTTTCTGTAGTAAACATGCGGAAGTAAGCCAACCAGGAAGTAACTTTATACTGTTCAGAAACGGCAAGATTTCTGAAGAGCGTACCTAATCAAAGAAAAGTGTAAACAACCTGAGGCTCACATAAACTGACATTTTAGGTGTTGTTGAATTTCAGGTCCAAGAAGACCTGAAATTTCACTTAACGTTTTCTGTAGTATACATGCGGAAGTAAGCCGACCAGGAAGTAACTTTACCCTGTTCAGAAACCCCAAGGCTGTATCTAATCACAGAACAGTAAACACAGCCTGAGGCTCACATGAACTTACATTTTAGGTGTTGTTGAATTTCAGGTCCAAGAAGACCTGAAATTTCACTTAATGTTTTCTGTAGTAAACATCTCGAAGTAAGCCGACCAGGAAGTAACTTTACCCTGTTCAGAAACCCCCAAGGTTGTACCTAATCACAGAACAGTAAACACAACCTGAGGCTCACATGAACTGACATTTCGTGCTACCAAGAAGTCCTGAAATTCCACTTAATGTTTTCTGTAGTAAACACGCTGGAGTAAGCCAACCAGAAAGTAACCGTACACTGTTCAGAAACCAAGGTCAGAGCTGCAGTCACCACCCGCGTTTTTCTTTTTCTTTTTAACCCAGCCATGTGAACACCTCAAGTCAACCCAGGCTTATTTTAGTCAGAGAGCTAAAGCCCAATTAGAGGATCACTTTGACCCAATTAAACGACTTGTAAGGTGGCGCTCACCCAGAAAGGACGCATTATCAGGTAAAGCCAATGATCCACAAGACCTACATAACTACTGTAAACCTTTTGAGAGCCTTGTGTTGTCACATCTTTTGAAGTCGTGTGACGAACAGCGATACAACCAAATCAATGTACAGAGAATAAAAGCTCTGTTTAGGATTTAAAGAGGTTAACAAAATGTTCTGCCCTAAAACCAGAACTCTTGATTTATTGGAAGGGGGAGAAAAAAAATTAATCCAGGATTATGAAGCATAAATAGGTGACAATACTGTCAGGTGACTCATCTCTGTGAATCCACGGGTAAAATATATCCCATAGATCCATTTGGATTGTGCGAGCTCTCAACGCGACTAGGCTGGAGTTAAATGAAAACCAATTGTTCACTGGCTTCAAAAGTCACTTCAGAAATCAAACACACATAAAAAAGAAAACATAACTTGGACTTACGTTCAATCTTCTTCTTGAGGCGAGGGCAGACAACAAACCAGACCACAATGCCAGTCAGCAGAGCACAGCCCAATGAGATGAGCAGGATCCCCCACCAAGGGATGTTGTCAATTCCCAGCTCTGAGAGATCGCCAGAGTCCACACAAACACAAAAAAAGGCAAATAGAAACAGAACGTTTTATAAGACAAGGCAGCAGAGGCTACCTTTATGAAATAATAAAACTGAACACAAACCATGGATTACAGGAGACATTTTAAATCTGAGATGCAAGACTAGTAATCTTACGTCTCATAGGAGCAGGACATGCATCGTCACTTGACTGCACTGCATCACTGTGGCACATGGTTTAAAATGGAAAGCACATGTAGCCCCATATGCGAACGCTTATGCAACACCCAAAAGGTAAGAGAGCACAAATGTCAACATGACCCCTAAGAGCCCAGCCAACAAATGCACACAGACGAGTTCCTCAAAAGGAAAGAAAAGTAGAAAAAGGGAGGCGTGCGAAACTGCACACTGCAACTTTTCACTGTAGTGAGGGTAACCTCCTGCCAAGACTGCAGCAAAACTGGTGCAGCACAGTACAAGCAACTTATTTGAATTTCCCAGAGGAGCAAGCCATCTTTGTCTAACAAAGAGTTGGAGTCGACAGTGATTACATGTGAGCAGAAAGACTACAAAACACACACCGGACACTTGCTCCGTTAGGGTGACCTTGAGTGTGCATATTTAAGTTGTTTTGGCAGTGCAAGATAAACAAAAGGAAATGAGGGTCAAAGACGCATCATAAAAAAATGTGTCCACTGCCATGTTAATTTGAGGGCAGAGTTCACAGTGACAGCACACTCCCCTCGATGAGTCACGCTGCAACACAAGACTGCAGCACCAGACCGATGTTTGTTCAGTTGCGCAATGTAAGCGCACTTACAATGTAAGCACACGACAAGGCTCCAGTAGTCCTGCTCCCTTATGGAGAGGTGCGTCAGGGCGTGATCGCTTACGTGCGAGGAGATAGGACAATTAAGGGGAGCTGCGAATACTACACTGGTTACCACTTCCACATAAAAGAAAAGAGCATATTACACAACAGAAAGTGAAATTTAACCACGTCTGTGTCAGAACCCTTCTCTGGTACCTCAGTACTCTGTGGCCTACAAAGCACAATGACATGGTCTGTATTCCCTTCCCCGCTGCCACATGTGCAAATTAACATCCACTTCAATAACAGACGACTGCTCAAACATCCCCTTTATGACTCACTCACCAATAAAGTTTTTAGTTATGCAATTATACATTTAACTCAGACCCAGGGAGCTCGTTTTTTGATTGGAGTTAAAGCATCATGTTCTAAATGAAATCAGTGTGCAGCGTTAACCACAGGCTCCTTAAATGTGTCAACTTTTAGAAAGTCGATTAAAAAAAGATTTCCCTCATTTTCCCCTCAAGATTTAAATAAAGAAGTCCCAGTGACTGGTTATATAAAGCAGTCTCAATGCTCTTCCCCAGTGCACACAATCATTCATGTATTAGATGAATCTTTGTTCCAACGCAATTGATTTAAATGATTTCATCACATCCTCAGCATGCAGAAGCCTGTCAATGAGTCATTTAAGTCATCTAAAACATGTCGGAACATGAGTTGTGAAGACCAGGGTGAAGAACCCCTGTTATGTCACCCAGTCTAGCAACTTTTATCAAGTACTGCTGGTCAGCTGGATGAACAAAATACTTATTTCCCCTTGCTTACAAGGAAAAAAAAAAAAAAAAAAAAACTTATTCCAGCTCACAAAAACCAATGGCAGTCAAGTGTAGAAGCAAAAGGACACCCACCCGTTACTCTAACGGCCTTAATGTGGCTAGAAAATCACAGTAGGGAATCTACAAGTGTCTAAAATCTAAATCTTTAAAAGTAATTAAACCATTGTGTCTTGGTTTGGAGTGCGTTTTGTGAAAATCTCAAGTTATCTGATACTCAAATATATGATGAAGTGAGACTCAGTTATCAGCTGATAACCGATAATGTGGGGTGATAATGGGGATCATTTATCATCTCCAGCACTACACTAAAATTGTCCGAAGACCAAAAATGTCTGAGAAAAATAATAAAAAATTCAAGTAATTTTGTTTAGGGAAGTTAGATGTCTGCATCAGTCAGAAGTTTACCCCATTAACACCAATGTTTATCTGACATTTGCTTTAGCACCATGAACAAATCTTTGTACAGGCACATCATTTGATACTGGACAGGACTGCAGTGGAGCTAAAGCTGTTGAGTGATTTATAAAGTGAGAAGACCTCAGGTAACATGAGACATCCATCTGTAATGGATAATCAGCTGAAATTTAAAGTCCTGGCTTCATACTGCATTCAGTTTTCCATTTGCCAACATAAGCTCTCTCATATGGCTGTTTATAAACTGAGAGCAGGAATTTGCTGCAGACAGCCCGGTTTCCATTCACTGTAATGTGCTAACATGTTGATTCGGAGTCGAGTCTTGTTGCAGGACACACTGTACTCTGTTCGTTGCAGATACTGATGCAGCTGCTGCATTAAAGCACACAGATCAGCAAAAATAAGAGTCTGCCTTATTCCAGAGTAGAGTCGATTACAAAAGTGTTTCTGCTGGATTAGATTTATATAATTATTTGATTTCTAAAGATATCCCGTTAAGCTGTAGTATATGCTTTTTTTTTCCAAAGCTTATTCATGTTTCAACTATCTATAATAATGTATGAATGCTTAATGTGAATCTAACCACTGTTCATAGTCCTCATCTAATGTGATTAACACGGGGCAGCTTGTTAGATCTCTAAGGGAAGTCTCACACCTTTTCATGCGAGGTACGCATTTACTGGTCCTCATGTATATTGTGTGTTCCGATGGGAAGGACCTCACACAACTTTACAGAATGTGTCTGTCTAAGCCAGGTTATCTATGCGGGAAGTGCAAGTGATCTCCTCTGAATGCGCCGATGTGCATGCACATCTGCACACCAAATGTGGTCAAACTCTGGCCTATTGCCGCCATTTAAAGGCCCAGGCCAGCTAACATCTTGAACTTTTTGGCCCTGCAGAGAGAAGAAAACAAAAAGGAGCAAAAGCACCTCATTTAATAAAATGCTTCCAGAAGGTCAAGACAACTAACAATTATCAAGAGCATTACCATAACAAGAGGCACAAGAAAAATCATAACCATTTCATCTTTACTTCTCTGAAGTCTGAAGATGCTCAGAGTTAATTCTAGTTTCCATTCCCTTGTTGTGCTCCACTCTTAAACTTCATTCCAGCTATGACCCACACAGAACCACAAACAAGAGGGCCTCAAAAACATGTTAAAATAAACACGCCTTCTGTGAAAGTGGTAAACAGTCTGGTTCTGCCTGGAATATATGCGTGGGCATCCGGCTGTCTGAGGGAGCCGTTTATTTTAGGTTTTGGCTGCTGGCAGTCACGTAGAGAAAAACGAGACAATGGTACTCACCCGGCGCTCCAGTGTACATGATGGAGAACAGGTTGACCCCCATGGTCACGGCATAGAAGACAGGCAGAGCTTTCAGGCCGTTAGGCACAGGGTCTTTCTGTGGGACAGAAATAGAACAATTCAGATTTGCAGGTTCTACCGTATTCAAACAGCTACAAGGTCATAAATTTAATGTGATCCATGTGGACATATAGAGACAGGACCGCATTTCCATGCCGTGAAACAAAGACATCAAGTTCCTAGCTTAGAAAATTCAACTGGTTTGTAGCAATCTTCATACCTTTTGCAAGATGAACATGCGCACAAAGTAGAAAACCACAGCCGACATTATTCCAGACAAAAGGGGGCTCAGGAACCAGGAAGCAACTGAAAACAGAAACTCTGATTTAACATCAAATGTCACTTTTTTTCCTTTTTACTTATTAGCCAGTCCCAAAATCCAACATCCTTGGAAAATTGCTCAAGTTATTCAGCAAGTCAAATACAACTGTGGTAATTCAAGTGTCTTTTCAGGTCTGTCACACTCAACCAAATTCAACTTTTCTTGTAATATACAGAAATTTTCATAACAGTTACTATAGATTTTAACCTACTATCACAAAAGTTCAGCCAAGCCTCAAATATATACATTTTAATAGTTTATAGCAAAACAGAAGCATCACCGCTGTAACTGCATAAAGATTAAATGAATTGTTTTCTCCTGAAAACACAGTATTAAAAATAAATTAATTCAAGGTTTTCCTGAATTGCTTGGAGAAAATTTAAATCTCTGTGTTATTTATCCTCTTCATGTCTACAGTTTACACATTATGTGCAATTACATAAGATATTTGAAGTGTAAATGCAGGTTAAAGTAAATTGAGAGCAAGTCTTCCTTACCTATTCGAACAAGCTCAAGCCACTTGACTCCTTGCTGACCTTTAGCGACCAACGAAAAGCCAATTGTAGCTCCAACAATGCAGTGTGTTCCAGAAATGGGGAGCTTAAGGAAAGAGGCAGCCAGCTGCCATACAGCAGAACCTATAGAGAAAGAAAGGAAACAGATTAAAGGACAAACTAATCAACTACTTTTTAGCTCTATATGCTTTATTCTCCCAAAAGTGCATTTTAAACTATGTACAGGTTACTTACCAACCATGGCACTGACAGATCCAGCCATCAGCACATGCTCAGAGCCATTGTACATGCCCACATCGATGATACCTTTGCGGATGGTTTCACTCACTTTTGCCCCGAGAAGGACAGAACCCAGAGTCTCAAACACCGTAGCCAGAATGCAGGCCTGTCGCAGGGTCACAACCCCAGAGCCAACAGCTGTACCAAATGAGTTTGCTACATCATTCGCACCCACGGAAAAGGCCAAGACGAATGCAATGATGAAGCCAACGATCAGCAGCCACATGTAGTCTGTCATAGGAGTGTCTGTCATGACTGCTGCAGCAGTAGCCAAAATAACTGCGGCTGTAGTTGGTGAAACCATGATTGTAGATTGTGTTGGAATTACTTCACAATTTTAAGGGAAAGTAATGTAAAAAATTTTTTCGATAAGGCTACTTTTAAACAGCAGCTGATAAATTCAAGAGGTATTATGTAAATAATAATAATAAATAAATAGCTTTTCTATAAGCCGAGTTACTGAGATTCAGCAGTGCAAATTTGTAAAAATCTGGGACTGACCAGAAATTAAAGTAAACTAGAGGTATAACCAAAGATTTATTGCTATCCAGTAATTATACTAGATTTTTTGCTGTTGTTGTGGTGCTTGGCTATCAAGCAGACGGTGCAACCAGCCATTGTGCAACTGTGACTGCAGGTAGGCAGGGGAACATTCTGAAAAGAGAAAACAGAAAAAAACCTTTAATCTCTATGGAAAGTCACCAAAACAATCATCAAATTGACAAAAGCCTCTTTTTACGTGGCATATGACGGCATGAAAATCCAGAAGCCACTGCCTATACCGGAAGATCGTCAGCTGCGTGCTTTCCAGAAAGCTAAAGGGAAGCCATATTGAGGAAATGGCGCACGAAGAGTATTCTATCAATAACGACCTTTAGTACATCTCGGTCGATAGAAACATTTTGTTTTCAGCTGCCTGATCAGAGGAATCGCATTTATTAAAGAAGAGTGGAGATAAAAGGCGTATTTATCTTAAGTGGAGACACGATTTTTCTACGTGTGCACGTGTCGTCACTCATTCACACCATGCAAGAAACACGAGCTCTTTCTGTACGTGCGGCTCAGACTGTCTAGACAACAGAGAAGCAGTGAGAGAGATACAGTGTAGTCTTTATTTCGTCTTTATGACCGTCATACTCGCTGTTGTGGGCAAAAGATGTTTTTTATAAGTTATGTTTGCCGAGTTTATTCTTCTTTTTTTTTTTCGTACAAGGGGGATGTAACCGGATGTGAGTCGGTACAGACTTCTCCAGTTGCAGATGCGGTATCTTCATAGACTAAGTGGATCTTCTGCGTCTTGACCCAGTTTAGTTTTCATCCAATAAATATAATGTTTTAATGTATATTAATAATGTTAATGTCAAGGAGAGTCACCTATTTCTAAACACACAAAAAAATGTTCGCTTATATGACAATGGATGTAAAAAGGTACACACCCCATATCCTATTTTTGGCAACAACTGTAATTTAGTTAAAGCTTAGGAAATATTTAGTTCGTAATAAGTCAATCAGTTTATTATTCCCAGCTCACTTGTTGTTTGTGATGACAACATTGTTCGAGCTGCCATTAGCTATAGGCTAACATCGGCAGTTGTTACACAGCCTTAAAATACAGTATAATGCCTCTAAACCAAAAAAAGAGGGCTCAAAGTGCTGCTGAAGATATTAAAGTAGTAAACTTACCACACGTTACGACAGTCGGTCCAGAAGAAAATACTTCCTTTTAGCCGGTAAGCTAATTAGCGCGCGCGCGCTCACTAACGGTTCTCTGCGATAGCGCGCGCGGGATAAGGAAAAATTAAACAGATTAAAAAATATCCCTTCAAAAACTGTCTACACTAACATAAAGAAATTAGTGCGCCAAAAGATATATATCTACGACAACACCTATATCGGAAATAAGTACGCTTTTAAAGTTCCAGAAAGGTTTCCGTTTGAATGGAGGCTTCTCTAGCGCATGTATGAAACTTGCTCGTGCCGGTTCTGTGAGACAACGGGGGTTCCTTTTTTTATTGGATACACCCTTCAGGAAACCCCGCCCCTTCCAGCTACTCCTTCACGTGATCGGCGCATGTAACCCTCCCCTCCTCCGGAAAAGGACTCTATTCTTCTGATGCAACACAAACATGGATGGGTCAGATTTCTTGGCAAAGCGGGGATTTTTTTTTTTTTTTTTTTTAGGAAACGTTAATCAAATGAATGAATATCTTTTAAACTAAGACCATAGCATACTGTCAGACTTTACATTGTTCTTACACGCAGTGAAGCAGTAATCCTATGAATATGAGTCTGTCCAGTTGTAGTCAATCAGAAATACTTTAATATACTTTACACACGTTACATAAAGTGATGCGTTTATCTAGCCTTTTCCACTTGGGAGTATCAAATTCTGATGTGTAAGAAAATATCTGATATGCACACGAACAATAGTAGCTACAACAGAAATAAATATGGTAACATGTCTGCATAACATGTTTTAATTTGTTAAATAAAAAATTGTTTTAAAGAGAAGTCACAAGCATTAAACCTTACTATATTTTACACAAAAGACTTGAGCCTGTAGTAGATATTACCTTTCAGCTGGACAATAACCCCAACATTTAGTCAAAAATATAATACAATGGTTTAGATCAAAGCATATTCATGAGCTATAACGATGCAGTAAAAGCCTAGACCTACATCAAATTGAGAATCAGGAAGACTGGAAAATTGATGTTCACAGAGGCTTTCCATCTAAAACAACCTGACCCAAGATATTTTAAAAGTAAGAATGGACAAAACTGCCAGTATGTAAATGTAAAAGTCTGGGGAATACAGCAGAATACTTTTAATGCACTGAGAGATATGGTTCTACAAAGAAGCCTAAATTGGCTCAGAAGGGTTAAGTACAAATACACGCTACACTTTTCAATACAGTGAATTAGATTTCCAATTAAATACATTCATAGAGATTTAAAGTCAATTACATTAATTCTAATTTGATCCCAGTTATTAAACAATGTAGTCAAGTTTATTATTTTAAATGGAAAAAGGGTTTTCTGTCTAATTAAACTCAGCCAGTTGAATCAAGACACTGACTTTGCAGCAATTCCTCTTCTGGAACAAGGATGTAGCGACAGCAGTCGATTTAATTGAGTTAACTTTGCAGCAATACCTCAATCCGAGCCTGAATGTAGGGACAGCAGAGAGAAAAACTCCCCCAGCAGATTCCGGCTCTGTGTGAGCAGCCATCTGCCACGACTGACTGGACATTTGAACAACAACAACAACAACAACAAAACAAAAACAAAAAAAACACAGTACACTGGTCCAACAGTACTTCCAGTGTGAATTAGAAAGTAAAGAATTAATGACAGCAAAGGATTCTTTAGGAGCTTAATCTAGGAGGAACACCACTAAGCCTATAAGCTCTGAGACAGTTGTAAATTGAAGAAAACAGAATGTTATAAACATAATTTTAAAAACGTGTATTATTTTTCTTTCATGTCATAGTTATCTACCATTTTTCTTAGTCAGTTACGCAAAATCTTGTCAATACACAACGGGAAAAAATGTGAAACAAAAAATGCAAATTAAAAATTAAGGAATAATAAAAAAATTATAGTAAGATAAGCAAAAACATATTAAGTAGATTAAATTGAAAGTTTTACAGTAGATTAGATTATAATTAAAAAGGGTGAAATCATGTATGCCAAGAATGCTTATATTTCTCTTATCTGCTTTTGATTTTACTTTTTATTAGATAAAATCACAAATTGGGACACTTTGTTTTTGTAAAGCACAATGAGAACCAGAATCTCCTTTGTTAATCATGAAATAAAGAGCAATGTCACCCTAAATTGTTAAGTTTTGCTACAGCACAGAGCATATCAACAAAAGTGTCAACATGAGAAAAATAAATTTTATTGATATTGAACATATTCAGAGTCAGTGAGTAAGATTGTTGAGAGGCCCTATGCAGAATTTTGATTCGATAGCCAGTAATCCTCAAACCAGAAACTTTTAGCACCGAGAGTATAAAGTTTAAAATTATTCACTATTTAACTTTTAACACAACTCGTCTAACAGTTAACTGAAGAGCTACGAATGGATTCCTCAAGGAATGTGTTTTGTTTGACATAAACATGAGTCACCACCTCACATTATTCTTTAGATAAACAACACTTTGGGGTGTAATAGAAAGTGTCAGCTACAGTGGTGGTACAGACAGTGTTTTGTCAAAAATAGAGTCAGAAAAGAAGGAAACAACAAAAGCTTAATTGCATTTACTGATCAGAAATTGTCGACTATTGTCAGTTATTGTTTAGATTTTATTTGGGAACCGTTACAGATAGCTGGAAATATAACTCCGGAAAAGAAATAGGAAGAATAAACAATATGACTAGTGGTAAAAATCTATTCCTTCTGATATATCTCTAAAAGGAGCTGTATTTTATATGATCACATATAGCACAGATACTAGTTCATTAAAATTGCCAAATACATTTCAAACTAAACATCATTTTCAAGTCAAATTTGCAATTTAGTAACATTTAGAGTACATTTCAAAGAACTTTTACTGATGATTATCTTCTAAAATCTTAATTCTGTATGAGAATTTAAACTTTTCTAGAGGGTCCTACAAACTTTAGGGCCTAAGACAACTGTTCAGTGTGTTATACCTCTGCTAATAATAAATTAATCTGTTGGAGAGTAATAATACTTTGTTGAAACTCCTTTTAAGTTTTTCAGCCACTCTTTTGTGGCTGACATTTGCCAAATCTTGATTTATTAGTATCTGAACATTTTGTAAAAGTTATCCAGTTCCATTAGTGATGACATCTCTTGTCTCGTCTTTATGTGACCCTGCAACGACTCTGTTAGATTTGGCTTTGGTCACTGGCGGGGCCATTCCAAGGCGTTCATTTTTTTGTGGTTCATCCATTGTTTTTTTTTGTTTGTTTTTCTATTTAAAGCTGAGATGTTTTGATGGAAACTACCTGTTATTTGAGGTGGCTCAGTATTTTATGCACCTTAACAAAAACAGTGACCACAAGTATGCAATAGAGCACGTTGCAGCCACCACTATGTTTTGTTTGGGTTTTGTGTTCTTTCGATGATGTTCACTTCTGTTTCTCTGCCAAACACCTTTTGAAAATCTGGCCCAAAGATCTCACTTTGGTTCCTTCAGACCAGACCACATTGGTAGACCATGTCTACCACATTGCTTTGGACAATGTTAAGTTTAGTTACATTTTTAAAGCAAAGGATTCTCTCCCATTACCCATTATCTTAGCTTTTACATATGGAAATATTATTGACAAATATCGAACATGAAAAGTGCATGTTAGAAATTCTTGCAGCTTCCACAGTTTTACTGACAGTCTCTTGGCCTCCTTGAGCAACTTTTATCTTTTTTATCCCTTCAATTTAGGAACAAACTTTCAGTTTTGTTATTTACCCAGTATTTTTAATCACTCCCTTCTCAGTACTATGGTACATGCTGTGTTCATATTACTGTTATTTGTGCTCTCCTTTACCTTTGTACAGTGAGATTGTTTTGATAATCTGTCAACTCTTTATGAACTGTTTTGGTAAAATATACTAATTCTACTGGAAAGTCTTGCTACAACCATTGAAACCATTAAAAGTCTTCCGTGAGACTTCTTACAGGAAGTAGAATGTCTATCTGGGGACAATCCCCGAAGAGCAGGTTTGAATACGTTACGTCCAGAATGGGCTTAAAGCCACACAGACGTGAAAATCAACGTCCAGTTGCTTGAACTTCCACCTGAACTCCAAATAACCATCCAACTCTAAGTCATTCTACAATCACTCAAACCGTTAAATGTCTTCCGTGAGACTTCTTATAGGAAGTAGAATGTCTATCTGGGGACAATCCCTGAAGAGCAAGTTTGAAGACGTTACATCCAGAATGGGCATAAAGCCACACAGACTTGAAAATCAACGTCCAGTACAGAACACCTGAAAAACAAGACACAAGATAGGTTGGGTTGTTTATTATAATGTTGGCAATGAAACATAATGTTCTCTGAGTCACATTGTAAATATGTTGGCTGTTGTTCTGTCTTTGTCACACGTACAGCATATGCCAAATAAACCAAAGGTGTTTTAATGATTTAACCCTTGTGCGTGCAAGGACTGAGGCAAACGTGGAGGACTGTGGCAAATGATACACATTTACGAGTGTGGGGTCAGTTGGACCCCATTTGTAAACACAAGGGTTAAGAAGGAAATCATAAATTTTATGCCTCCACACATAAAACTCTGGAGAATAGCCCGTCACAGTCTGGTTTCCATAAAAATGGAAAAACAATGTCAGGACGAAACAAAACAGGAAAACAGTCTGAGCCGATGATGTTGGGCACATTACAGAAGACTTGTCACTCATTGAAGTGCGTCCAGCTGGAAGTGATAACAACATTCACTCTAACAAAAGTTGTTTTCTTTGGTCACTGCTGGTTTATATATGGTCAACAGAGATGCATTATGTCACATAAAAGCATTGCTCAATAGGTAGAACAAAAAGACACAGGGCTGATTTATTGTCAGTGGATCAAAAGGGCCCTTTGTGTTTGGGTTTAACTATTTGTCTACTTTCCCCCATTGTTTATTGACATCATACCTTTGGGGATCAGGGCAGCTTTATCTATGCAAAAGTAAGGGTTATAATTGCAATTATTTCCAAGCACCGGAATGAGAGGAATGGCGATAACACATGAACTCTCCAATATAACTTTTACGGTTTTATAATGGCAAATTCCAGAACTTCCTCCATAATCTCTAAAGATATAATTAGTGTCTTCTTCAGCTCCCACCTTTCCTCAACGTAGCAATTAACCGATTTGTGAAACCTTCTTGTTTACCTTGACCGGAGGTCAGTGAGAAAAGCAGACTTTATAAAAACAAGGGCACAAACTCAAAACTGTGTTTCTTAACACTAACCTCATAGTCTTATGATGCTGAAATCCACCACAGCCTGAGTAACAAACA